AGGACGTAGCTGGTTCGTTGTCTGACTTAAAGGTTATAGCCGGAGGCAGCAGTGTGAGGGTTCGACTCCCAGTGGAAGCATGTATGGGAAAATGACCTAAAGATAAACCTAGAAGGTTTGAATTCGATCATTTGTGCATACATGAAAACTAGATTCTGGCCGGTGGGCTAATAGGATTAGTCCGACGAAGTTGGGATCACCTAAGTTAAAAAAGTAATTAATTAATTAAAGATACAAATACAATTTTTTTGTTAATCCTAACAACAAAATGGTAAATATATAATTAAATAAATTTTATAGTTTCCTAGTGATCTAGGAAAATTAATCCTACCACCTCTAAACCTGATTTATTTTCCTTCATTTTAAAGAATTTGATGCTACCCAAGATATAGATGAAATGATGTGAGTCTTTTTCGACTTAACTAAAAATTTTATGAGAAGATGTTTTGTCACCCTTTAAGATCTTAGGCCCACTTAATATTTATATATATGTATCATCAACTCACGAGGAAGTGTTTTACCACCCATTTTAGGTCCTAGGCGCTATTAATGTCCATCTCCCAATAGGGATTAATATGAACATGCATGATTAATGGTGTTGATGGGTCTCGCTGAATTGAAAGAGGCTTAATTTTAATTTAACCAATGAATTAAAGATTATTATTATTATTACTAGTATTTTTTATGCGTGATCTGCAAAAATTAGTTGTCAATATTAGTACTTTATATTTAAATTTTAATTTATTTAAATTATTGTAAATAATAATAATGTAAAACATTTTTATAAATTTGATATTTATATTAGGAAATAACTAACAAATAACTCCTACATATTATTATTATATTGAAGAAGATAATAAAATATATGGTGGATGGATGTGCTGATGTGCATGATAACGATCACTACTGGAAATTCTGAAATTTCCGACCACCTGAAAGTGATCATAAATTAAGTTGAAAGTCTTGTTCCGACCACTTTTGATATCCGGAAAAACCTTTGTTGCTATTTCCGACCACATTTTGGACTTTTTGGTATCAACTTAATTTAAGATCATTTTCAGGTGGTCGGAAATTTCAGAATTTCCAGTAGTGGATAGTGGAAAAAGATAACGAAATTATAACGATAGGGGTATGTTTGTCCAAAATATTGTAAAGTACAACTTTTATAACATAATGTATAAAAAAACTTAACGGAAAAAAGGACATAAATAAATGGTATAACATTCCCTAACACTTATTATGTTTTTAGATAATTAAAAGTTACCTTTTAATTTTCATTATTAATTACTAATTAGAATATAGTATTAGAGATGAAAGCTAATAATTAATTTGCTAAATAATTAATCAGTTCATTAATTACTCCAAGGCGTAGTTTATTTATGTGAAAATGAATATATAATTGCCAGCCAGAATCTCAACGATGTTGAATGAATCATTTCTACAGTTATTTCGTCAACTTTGAGATCCATACAATTATATATACGTCCAGTGGATAATAATAATAATGCAAAATATATGTATGCAAAGGAATACAAACATAGATATATGGCACATGCAAGTGGTCAACAGAACATGGGAATACCCCAAAAATACCTTCCCCAATTGTTTATTGCTGAGTTGTTGGATGTACTATTTGTTTATTATTTTAGTGAAGAAAAATTTACGATCACTATTTGGGTGTGCACTGAATAAATTTGATCAAATTCATGTGTAATAACCCGCAAATCACATAAGAGAAAGTAAATCGCACTAAAAAAAAGATTATATGCAGCAACAAGCTAGACTGAGAAAGTGTTGGCAAAAATTGAACTTTGTGGCCTTTTGGTACGAGAATTATATTTCACTAGCTTGACCACTTCTTTCGGTGCTATTTACTTATTTGAATAATAATAATAATGTTGCTCAAATCAAATTCTATATGCGATTTAACCCTACCAATAAAAGAAAAATGTGTCGTGATTAACTAAGAACATGAAGGTCCAACAACGATTATTGGCCGCGTATATATATATGTACGATGGAGAACATATAAAAAAAATCATTTCATATGATTAATTCATTATTGATGAATAATGATCTCTCTTTTTTTGGTAATTATACTATGATATGATGAAATATTTATATCCCATTAATTATTGATTATGGTAGTTGATGATACATATGTTAATGAAATAAATTTATTGGAATTGAACATGACATGCTCAGGCCTTGCTATAGGCTAATAGGCCCACTAATATCAACAAGATTTTCTGAAACCAAATATAAGCTATAGTCATGTGATATTTAATAATAATAATAATAATAATAATAATAATAATAATAATAATAATAATAATAATGAGATATTGAGATATAGGGGGTTGAAGTCTTACCACCTGCCGGCTGCCGCTAACCGTCACAGGATCTGCAATTATGTGGTGGTTGAATTAGTTCATAATATTTTCATCATATAACTGACAAATAATTTTGAAAAATTAATTTAAAAATGGTGAATAATTGAATTTATGATAGTGTGAACGGCTGACCATTAACGTAAGCAAAAAAAGGACAAAACAGAAAATCCGAACCATATCTACGACCACAGTAATATAATCCAACAACATTTTATTTTTTCCAGTGAAAATTTGTCTCCCCAGAAAGTAGAAGCAAACCCAGATCAGACTCCACACCCATCTTTAATTTGGTCAGTAATAGGTACAAGTGGCCTTCATCAAAAAAAAAAAAAAAAAAAAAAAAGGTACAAGTGGCCCTATTGTTATCTTTGAAGCACTCATCATATATCCAATCCCCAGAAATTCTAGATATTAAAAAGAAAAAAGAAAAAAGTATGTAGTAGAATGTCTAGAAAAATGTGGTAAAAATCACATATGTATATATATTCTTTTCCTATTTAGAGGAGTTTATTGTTCGCTAGTTAGTCACACAGTTGGCTTGATAATCATAATATTTTAAATTTAATTTTTTGTAAGAGTTATTTTATTGATCTTTTTTGTTTGAGCTGGTGCTATAGACACCTAAGTTGGTCTACCTCTTTATGATTCTTTGTTAGTTAATATCACGAGGATTTCACTCGGGGCGTACCTTCGATTACCAACTACAGACTTTGTTGTAAATAAATAAATTATTGTTTTATTGCTACTTAATTGATGAAAATTAATTACAACATATAAAATATAAATATTTAGTCCCTTATTAGCTTTAGACTTTTAGTTATGACAGAACACATATTTCAATTTGACATCAAAATCAAATCTATATAAAAAGATATGTTGAACATATAATATATAAAATATAATTGCCCACATGTTGCGTGTGGCCTATATATATCAAACAAGCACACACATGAGGGGCGCAAATTATATTATAGATTAGGATTCACCATGTTCATTGTGAACCTTGGTTTAAATTATGTACCTTCAATTAACAAATTATGTCTTTATAGATAAATTACATGTACATAATATGTTAACTACATATACATAATACATTAACTGCAACATGTACATAATTTGTTAACTGAATGTACATAATATATTAACTATAAATACATAATCTGAACATCGTTTGCAATATGCTTGGTAGACGTTGGAATAACTATTGCATGTGTGAGGGTTATGTTGATCATATAATATATAAAATAATAAAATATGAATGTGTAGTTTATCTATCAATTTAAACTTTTATTTAAAATAGAATTTTTTTTTGAAAGCTACTGGCTTTATTACAATGTAGTATCTATTCATATACTTTCTCAACCTGCTGAAACACAAAGAACCAATAACGCCTTCACTGAGGCTTGAACTCACAATCTGGAAGTCTAACCCGGGTACCAGACCACATAATTTAATTAAAAATGAATTTTTAAAACGATTGGAAGATAAGAACTAAAGACTAAAAACACTAGATCGATGAAGAATTGGATAGAATGTTCAAAAGTGTTGAAGCTGTGCGTATAGTATAGATTTCTTGCAAGTAACTCTAGCTACCCATCAACGTAGTGAGTGACGTCATCTACCATTAACTTTGTGTCTTTATTTTCTCCTGAATAAAAAGGTTCACAATCCGATTCTTTTCAAATTCCCAACTTTTCATTATGTCGGAACTTTAAATAGTAAAATGCGTTAAAGAAATAATTATTGTTTAAAAATGATGGGAATTGAATGGCTAGGATTTACGTGGTAATCGAAGTATATTTTTTTTGTTAAATACTACTGATCGACTTTATTACAATGCAGTATTTGTTCATAACTATTTTCTCAACCTATTGAAACATAAAGAGAGGCTCGATCTCACAATCTCGTAAGAAATAGTAGAGTTACTAAGTTTGGAAAGCCTGAGGAAAATGCAAATACAAGACATAATTGTACTACTTTTGACTTAATTTTGGGGGGGCCTTTAATTAACCCACTAAGTAGCAAGCTGCTTCCACGGCTTAAACAACGTTGTATACATACTATATAAATAAAAATAATTGTTGACACACAATGAAAGTCGGTCGACAAATATACTTTTTTAGTAGTTAGCAAAACCGGCCAACGTCCAACGGTGGCGTCGTCGCCACACAACCAGGAGATCTCTAGCCGTGAATCTCGCCGCTGCAATTCGATTTTTATAAGTTCCATTCCGATCGAACACGCACATTAATTATTAGTACTATTATTATTGTTCAATTAATTATTGATTTTAACAATCTAAAATTCAATCATATAACATTTTCGAGCTCAATCTTATTGGGACCACGATCATGTGACATCAAATAATGAACATTCCTCATGGAAAATGTTATGTGTATTATTATTTTCATTACATCATGTCATTAGAAGAATTGGAGAATTAATATCATTGTTTCGCCGAATGCCGAGTGTCGTAGCAGTAGCACATAGGGTTTGATTCTTATTGAGGTGTATGAAACTGGCATAAATGTTGTGGGCCCGCACTACGTACAAATACGGTTGAGTTATGTTTTATAGTTTATGTAGTTGAAACACATTCCAATTTACCTCAATACAACTTTGTTTCAATAAAACATTTATGATGTAAAGTAATAAATACAATCAAGAATCAAGATTACATAAATAATATTCTTATTTGTCTTGACTCTTTTGACCTTTTAACAGAGGACTGGGAAGTTTACAGATGCGGTAAAAGCTGGACACTTCTCGTCCTCACAACATGGACCGAGTGCATGCTTTCTCTACACAGACAACCAAAAAATGGTATCTTACGTAACTCAACACCTAAGTACTATGTAAAAATCAACACCTAAGTCTTGAGTAAAAAAAAAAAATTGGTTGAAACTTAGTGATCTATCGTTCTCTTTGACGGTCGTTGAACGACAGCCGAAAAACCCACTTTGAAAACCCTTTCCTCTTTGAGTTCTTGGTCGAATGATGTTTGGGGCTATGGAGGATTCCATGGTCGCCGGAATTCGATTTGACGACGAATGCCTTGATGCGTTGCATTGCCAGATTTAGAGTGTCTTCCGACATGTTGGCGAAGCATGCCCTGAACCACCCCGGTTCGGTGCAGTGGCACGACGAACCGGGCGAGATGTTTAGACCCACTTGGTACACTATTTTCTTCCATAGCTCCATTTCTGCTTCGAAAGTGTTGGAGCTTAGAAGATGTCTCATGTCTACCCAGCAGAACAATCCGGCATTGCTTTCCAGGCACCTTATCCCGGCGCCCCCGAGGCCGTTAACCAACATGTCGTGCCGTTTCTTGAGTCTCTTCTGGTTTTTCGCGACGTATTTTTTCGTGAACTTTTTGTCGGAAAGCATGGCGGAGAGGAGGTACTGCGTCTGCGACGAGACCAGCCCGAAGCTCGACATCTTGGTGGCGGCGGCGACCACCGTTTGGTCGTTGGAGTAAATGGCGCCGACCCGGAACCCCGGGAGTCCGAGGTCTTTGGAGAGGCTGTAGACGATGTGGACGCGGTTCCAAACGTCGTCGGTTTTGGCGTAGCCTCTCTCCGTGAGGACTTCCATCGCGCTGACGAATCCCGGCGAGTCGAAGACGGTGCCGGAGTAGATCTCGTCGCTGATGAGATGGATGCGCTTCTCGTCGATGAAGGTGAGGAGGAGATTCAGCTCCTGTCGGGTTAACGTTGTTCCCAGAGGATTCGACGGGTTCGTTACTAACACCCCTTTCACTTTAAGGTTTCGCTTTTGTGCTTCTTGGTAAGCCTCTTCAATGGCGGATTCTGTGATCCTGAACCCGTTTGAACTCCAGCACTGTATTGGCACAATCTCAGCTCCGGTCCTCCATTTCAGATCTCTGTCAAATCTGTTATAATGTGAACATATATGATGTAAGTAAACTTAATTGCATTAACAAATAGCGGGAAATCCTTAATTAAGTTGGTCAGACTGTTCATTTGATAATCTCAAACAGTTTGGTCCGAGCTGATCAGCTATGAACAACTTAGACTGAGACTGTTCACTTGGTAATTACAAGATTACAAGCTAAACTCCCGACAGAAGTAGTCTATTATCCTTCTTGGTCCGAGCTGATGAGCTATGAACAACTTAGACTGGATAGTGTAACGTGGAATTGATTAATTAAATTGAAAGAACTAACTTACCCAGGATAGTATGGAGTGGGAAGGAGGAAAGCGTCGCCGCGGTCGGCGAGGCAAAACATGAGAGTCTCGTTAGCGGAAGTTGCGCCGGCGGTGAGGACTAGCTTGTTGGAGTCAAAGGTGACTTTGTTTCCACGGATTTCTGACATGAATTGAACCAAGGCCTGCGTAGGATAGCAACAACAACAACGTAAGATGGTGTGTTTTTTACGTATTCCTAAATATGGCATCATCCAATATTATTATTCGTGGGTAGTGGATACGTACATTCTTGAAAGAAGGAAGGCCGTGGTAATCTTGAAACAGCGCAAGCTGTCTGAAAATGGATTCTCCGTCTTTCCTCATCGCCGCTGCGTCTGGGTTCTGAGCCAACCACGTTTCCAGCTGATCAAAAGACAGCTGCACAAATAGCAACAAACCTTAACTTTAGAAAACCCCGATGATAATGAACTTGACGACTTTAAATCAAGAAAGTCAATAAACTGTTCTCGATCAGAACGAGAACTCATAACTTTGAAGTTATGAAGACAATTATCCGACCAGTTTGATTGTATTAAACTAACCTGATTCTCTGCAAGACCCATTTGGATCATTCCATTGGGATTCTTGACCTCATCGTATGGATTCTTCTCGTACTCCTCCCAACCCAGGAAGTATGAGGAATCTTGTCCGTGTGAGTTGCACGTGACTTTCTCGGAGAGAAGCTCCATTTTCTCCATCTTTTTTTGTTCTTGACGATATATTGCACAGATGAATGTGGATAAGAAAGAAACTTGAAGAAGAGAGGAACAAAAAAAAAAAACACAAAAAGAGAAAGAATTCCTTAATCCGAACCGATCGAGAGTTCGTAGGATATTGAGAATGATATGATGGAATGGAGTGAATAGGATGTTGTGTTGCCATCCGCTGGGATACCGCAAGACTATATATAGGACTTCACATATGACATGGCAGGTAGCTTTTGCATTTTTTATAATAAAATATTATTAAATATATTTTTAAAAGAATAATTTCCAATCCCCTTCAAAATTTTCTAAACATTCACCCTATCACGTGACGGGTCACATGTATTTGACTTTTAAAATAACATCATCGGACTTTTTCGAATACTACTGATTCAATTATAATGTAGTATCTGTTCATAACTACTTTCTCATAACGTCTCTACTGGAGATTGAACCATGATCCCCTATTTGAAAAAATCACTTCGTGTTACTAGATCAGAAGATCATTCGTCTGCCAAAAACTTTATTTACTCCGTATTTTTTTGATCAAAATAGAGGGATTCAACAGTTGAACCCATGATTCCCACTTTATTTACTCAGTTGATTAAGATAGAAGTCAGTATTTAATATGTGATAATTATTTAATTTAATGGATATATAGTCCAATTCAACGCGGTTTTCCAGTGTGGAAGAATAATTTAATTAAGATTTAATTTGCAGCAATTTGTTAGGCTTTACCGTGAGAGAAGATGAGAGAGAGAGATAGAAATGTCAGCATCTATGTCGGAGACATAGAAAGGCATCCTAGCTGCGCTAGAAGATCATAATAGTGGTAACAGTACAGTTGATGATTAAGATTAAGCTGTGGAAATTTTAGCAGTTTGTTAAGGAGGCTCGACACAAACATAAATTATGATCATATCAGAACCAAAAAAAAAAAAAAAAAAAAAAAAGAAATTCTGGGCAGTGTGTACCATACCGACAGCAAATCTGAAAGACAATGGGTAGAGCAGAGGGTGAGCCCAAGCAAAATTTGGACAGTAACCGTGCGTCGGTCCATATTTGTTCCCCGCCGGCTGCCTGCCTTGGCCCATCCCTGAATTCATGTCGGCCACTCTTCACGGTGGCCCCCAATTCCTCATGCAACTAGTGTTATACTCGTAAAATTCACATCATATGTTATGATTTTATTAAAAATTTAAAATCATACCTTACTTCTTCTGAAATATTATTTACAGGTTATTAGACGAGATCATATTTTACTCATTGTATATTATGTTAGACTAAAATATCACATGCATAATCTTATATGTGATAATAGGATCGTACTAACCTCCAGCCATAGTTCTTCTTACGGTTGAGCGATCCGGACTGCTGCAGAGATAACGAGTATTTTGTCTCTCACTTTACTCAGCTCTCTCTAGATGGTGTATAAGGTATGTCATGTGAGCAGTGAGAGGACTAGTGACCTTATATAACCACTGGCCATCATTGTGGTTGATTTTCTTTAGGTCTCCTAAACCCTAACTAGACTCCTAATCATAATGGTAGTCTAGTTATTAGGTTATTAGTGTTGCACCACATATCAAATACTGAATATTATCATAACTTATCCTAATGTTATAATAATAGTAACGGATAAACGTTACATATTATATATCAAACTATTACACAGGATTAGATTTTATTCATTCTACGTTGTCAAATAATAATGATCGCGGGTTTCCGGTTACCTAAAAAAAGATTGTTGTTGTTGTTGTTGTTGTTGTTGTTGTTGTTGCTGCTGCTGTTGTTGTTGTTGTTGTTGTTGTTGTTGTTGTTGTTGTTGTTGTTGTTGTTGTTGTTGTTGTTGTTGTTATTATTATTATTATTATTATTATTATTATTATTATTATTATTATATCTATGTCTAGTATTATTTTTTTATCAGACCATAAGGTGTCCTGAGCAGATCCTAACTGTAGGAGATACATTTAAGCTCGTATCATACTTAGACTAATCTTCGATCCAATTAAAGGCAAAGTGCTAGCCAGATTAATTTTTTTCATAGGATGTGTAGAGTATTATTATTTTAGTTTGTACTTACATAACAATTATTGATTGATTTGTAAGATAGTTGGCTTGGTATCCACAAGGTTCCAAATTTAACTTCATGCAAAAGTTATTTATTGACTTCTTGGTTTAAATCGGTCAATTATGGACAACCTAGAATGGTTTACCTCTTTGTGGTCCTTTGCCATCTAGGGACACGATGTGTGTTTAACTTAGAGAGTATATTTGAGTAGCGATTGTGGATTTTTTAGTAAATTTTAAAATAGTATAAAATTTTATTTAGTTTTTAATGAAATTAGAGCAGGTAATAATAATAATAATAATAATAATAATAATAATAATAAATACGGAGTAATAAAAAGACTAATACCTTTTTTACTTATCGAAGTTTGAACAACATTAGAGAATATTGAGGCCAAGAAGTCTATAATGTGAAAACACGAGTTATAGACTTATAGGGGTGGACATTACATGGAGTCCTAATATAAGAGTGGACTAAGTATTATCTTATGTGAAAAAATATGAACCTTTTTGAATAAATCTTAAATTCTTATGTGGTTGGTGGAAATGTTTTAGGTGAAAATTATTGGTCATAATTTCATTAATATAATTTTTATATTTATTGAAAAGTCCATAATCACTATATGGGTATACGTTTTTGGTGAAGTGTGTCTCAATACTCTAACTAACAAAAGATCGGACCACAATAGGATAAATTAAACCAGCCTATGTTTTTCATAGTTGACCGGTTAAAATCAAGAAGATAATAAACAACTCACATGATAATGAAGTCAAATTTAAAATCTTATAATTATCAAACCAACTATTTGACCAACTTAGTTGAAGTTGCATGTCCTCATAATATAATTAATTTTTTGGGTAGAGAAATTATGGAGTAATAATTTATAGATAAGGTAATTAGAAGGGTGATCAACGTCAAAAATGTCATTGAAATGATGTTTTGTGTAATTATATGATGGGAAATTACCAAACATTTTGATTTGAAGTCAACCTCTGCCGTCAAGTAATGTTTGCACTGCGCAGTCGAGAGAAAGCATATCCATACTCTCGTGCTTGACAGCACATACTATACATTAACTCTGATCTGCAATCTTCTAAAGTATTAATTACATACCAATTCAAAGTTCAATCAGCCATTTTCACATTATATATTTCTTCTCAAGTTTTTGACCCAAATGTCGTCAACATATTCTTATCCCACAATTTCTCAATATCCAAATTAAGATTATATGAAAACTAAAATTTCTACAATATATATATATATATATATATATATATATATATATATATATATATATATATATATATATATATATATATATATATATATATAGGCTTGCGTTCAGGTGAAAACTTACTTAACTTGACACCGTGCAACACGTACAACATAAGCACAGATATCTTATTACATAAATGCACATTAACTACTACAAGGCATTGCATGCGGATGAGGGTGGAAATCTTGGGCGTAATTGGTATGTATTTATGTGGTAGATTGTGTACACTCATGCAGTTCTTACGGTTTTCATTTAAGCACAACTATATATATATATATATATATATATATATATATATATATATATATATATATATATATATATATATATATATATATATATATATATATATGTGGTAGATTGTGTACGCTCATGGATAACGGTGAAGACTTTGAGGTAGATTGTATGCACTCATGCTTGTTTGTACGTTTTCACCTAATGAAGTGTTTTCATTTGAACACAAGTCTATAATATATCGCTAGTTATATCAATTTGGAATGATGAACGATTCAAAATAAGCTATGCAATAATATTTTTGAAATTATTGCAAACTCTAGGCATGCACGAGCAAAGCTTCATAATTCATATACTGATATAGTAAGGTGCTTCGACTTGAGTGCATTACTATCGAATACACTCTGAAACTTTGTCTTGTGTATGTCCAAAGTTTAAGTAATCTTTGTTTTGCACCTTCCATTACATGAAAAAGATCAAAACCACCTGAGAGAGTTTTTTAAGTAAGAAATTTATAAAGATAGAAAGAAAATAATGATAAAATTGATTTGTTATTCAACATACCAAAATCAATCAAACCCTCCACTTTATTGCCAAATGCCAATTAGCCAACCGATTTTAAATAAAAGACTCCCATCTACCTAGCCAGTCCACTTGTTATACCACGTTGCCATTTTTTTTTTTTTTTTTTTGGGTGCCTAAAACAAGATCTAATAATGAACTCATAAATTGTCCATAAAATCTTGAAAAACAAAATGAAAGTTTTAATTCTTTATATTGTAAGGAAATAGCTGACTTTTTTTTATTTACAGAAAAACTCATAACCTCTACTACTTAATTAAATGTGCTCTTTGGATAAATCATCTGCGCGCCTTATAACCTTAACCAGCAAAAAATCACAAGAAGATAAATCAACTTAGGTTGTTTATAATTGACCGACTCAAACCAAATAATAATAATAATAATAATAATAATAATAATAATAATAATAATAATAATAATAATAATAAGTAACGTAGCTCCCACGTAAGGGAAGTCAAACTTAAAATTTTATGATTACCGTCAACCAACTTAGTTAGGGATTGCCGCTGAAATAACTATGTCATTAAGTTATTGGTGTAGTCACTTTTAGTCATTGAGTTTTTCTCAAAATGGTACTTTTAACTCCAACAAGAACTAAAAGTGATTAAATTGATAACTTAAATGTTGAGTCTGTGAGCATATATCCATTAATGTGTATCCAATTATCAGCTTAAGCTTTTAGTTGAGATGGAGCACATGCTTCAATTTGGTATCAGAGCCAGACCAAAGGTCATGGGTTCGAATCTCAACTATTAAGTTGTATCCAACTATCAGCTTTTAGTTGAGATGCTATTCCCCTATAAAAACATTGTTCCCAAAAGCTAAGGTTGACCTCTAACCTCAAGGCCCTCACGTCCCGATCCGACAGAACATCTGGAATGATGTAAATTATGGTAACTCAGCTTGACCTCTAACCTCAAGGCCCTCACGTCCCGATCCGACAGAACATCTGGAATGATGTAGTAAATTATGGTAACTCAGCTGAACACAGTAGCTAGACA